TCCACAGGCACCTTCTCCCCCCGCCCCCCCAACTGGCTTGCACTACTCCATGCCAGACCACAGCACCTGTCCCTACATTATAGGCGACTTTCCATGTGTGGTGGGGGTCACCTCCCAGTAATCCAGGCAAGAAGCAGATATAACTAGTTTATGGAATGGGCTACACCTGGTCAGGTACAATCCAGGGTTGAAGCAGCACCTGATGTTCTGTGTCTCAGATTATTGCCTGTCTTATCCCGAGAATTCCCTTCATGTCAAACTAAAGACTCACAGGTTGGGGATGTGAAAGGGTAGGTACTACTGAGAAAAACTGTTGCTAGCATGCACACACTTTGTTACTGCAACACTGACGGTTATTTCCTTCAATAGGCTAAGCAGGGAGCAAGTTAATGAACAGGAGCAAGAAGCGGGGTGGGCACAACCTTATTGGGACAGCCTTCCTGCCTTGGCGGCTGCTAAATCCTAAGCTGGAGCGTCAGTGACCTCTGCTGGCAAGACTTTCCCTCCGGTCTGCACAAAGGTGGGAGTCCCTCCATGGTGGGGGTACGAGTCTGGTTCAGTGTTCTTGAGAGAGAAGCCGGGAGATTGATGCTTATCGAGCAGAGGGAAGACTGGGTTTTCATGCTAAAACTTCTACTAGGGGGTTGGAGGTTGCAGCAGGCGGCAATGTAGGCAGAGATCTTACCCTAGCCTCCAGCCGCTTGCTCTCAAACGCTGACAGCTTGTTTACATTACTCGCCTTCCACATATAAACAGGTTTTCTTTTTTTTAACACATATTTTTCCAAAAAGAATGCATTCAAAAACAAGCTTTGCATAAACAAGTTTATAATGTTTCTGAAGAACATGTTTGCAAATTGGCAGGGTGAGGGGAAAACACTGTCAAAGCAAGTTCACTTTTTAATGTGTAGTGTGTGTGTGTGTGTGTGTGTGTGGAGGGGGGTGAGACATCCTTTACAAATACCTACCCAAATCACACCCTTTACACTGCTACATGCCATGTCACCCACAAATCCATGTGAAATGTTGGTGTGGGACAAGGCCTAAGTCCTCCTCAAAGCCAGGCAGACCTTTTTACAACTGCCCAGGTATATCTGTCATGGGAGATTTGGAACAGCAAGGTTGGAAGCCATCATGACAGGTCTCGAGGCTCCTGCTGGTGCGGTTACTGATGAAGCAGCTCTAGTCCCTGCAGGACCACATGGTGGGCACTTGAGGACCTCTCCCAGCCCACCCTGCCTCCTCTGAATGCCGGCTTTGCCCCCAGGGTGAAGCTTCTGCAGCCATCTCCTAACAGGGCTCGGTCCCTTAATCAGAGCTAATTAAATCCAGACTAAACTGACCAAGGGAACCGATGTCTTCAATGGGGGGTGGGGGTGGGGGTGGGGGGAAGGCAGGAATCAGATATCCTTTTCCAGAAATTGGCAATTAGCACCCAGGGATGGCAGGCAGTCGGCATCTGAGGGCCACTGCCCGTGAGGTCCTGTCGGGCGGGCCAGCATCGTGCACGGCAGCCAGGGAGAGGCAGAGAAGGCTGGGAGCACAGAGAGAACGAATAAAGGAGCAAGAAGGAGCATGAAGGGGACCTAGAGATGAGGTGAGGGGCTTCCTGGTTCCAACTGTCATCCACCCATTTTAGGTTCTTGTTTCCTTCCACATCCCATTTTTGTCTAAGCGACAAAAGACGCTGAAGACAGAAGCACTTCTGCTTAGTTTGCATTTAATACAGAGCACAATGATTCTCATGACTTTTGCTTGAGAAAGCTCAGAATTTGAATTATGTTAGTCCAGACTACCAGGAACCTCAGAACGGAGCTCTGACATCCAGCTTTGCTTAAGGCCAACTGTTCTCTCCACGGCAGTCGAGAAGGTCCTGGCTCAGTTTCCTTGTTCTTGTGCTGAGATGTAGAAATACAGTAACTAGCACCAGGTCCTGTGTTTCCCACCCACCAGCCACCCCTAACCTGATCCGTCAGGTCTGAAGGTGGGGCTGAAGAAAGAGGGAGTGAGAGGAGATTTCTAAAAGAAATTCAAGTGCTTTCACCATCAAAATAGAAAAGGACTCAGCAGGAAAACCCAGAGCTGTCCATCACACTTAGCAGGACAGATGGGGGTTGGTGGGGAAGCCTGGGACAGACCATCACTTATTCTCAAAGTGGACTCTATGAACGCTTCCGAGGGGGGAAGCTGGAAGCTCCCCAGGAGGTTCTTCAGAGAAATGAGAGTAGAGGGAGTTTCTGTGAAATAATTAAAGGCTTTTAGTAGGACTCTGGAGATTGGGCCCCATGGTTGTCCCCTCCATTCTCTCAGCCCAGACTTGCACATCCTGGCCAGCTTCCTGTGTGGCCTAGATGTTTCCTCACTTCTCAGGCAGAGGCAGTAGAAAGCTGACAATCCCATTAGTTGTTTCAAACTAAAACTGGCCACTTAGTTCTACTTCTATTGTGGCTGCTGATGCCCCTTCCCGTCCTGGAGAACCTCTTCCCCATCAGGGTGACCAGTCATCCCGGTTTCCCCAAGACTGACCTGGTTTAAGCACTGAAAGTCGCACATCTTGGGAAAACCCTCCTTCCCAGATGCACTGTGATGGTTCGTGATCCTGGAATGGAGAATCACTACTCTCAGAAGATGACTCATGTTTGGGACTGCAGTGCTGATGCTGAAAGTGTAGCTAAATAAGAGGAGGAGCTTGCTGTCCGAGAGCAGACGTGGGATTGAAAAAGGGTGTTGCCAGAGAGCTGTGGGGGGACTGAGGCAAAGGCAAGGCGACGTCTGAGGGTCTGTCTCACAAAACACGTCCGGGAAGAAGCTTTAGAAGAGGCTTTGGAACCGCACATTGAGACCTGCTCATGACTGTGGATAGGGGTGGAGTTGGGAGCGGGGGGGAAGGGATGGACATTTCAATACTGCCAGGAACTGGAACTCAGACATAGTGTGATGAAAAGCCAGACACTCTGGGGAGTGGTGCCAGCCCCCCAAACTTTTATAGGGTTGAAGGCAAGTGATGGAGGCCTATGCAGTTGACCCTTGAACAATGCAGGGATCGGGGTGCTGATTGCCCTGCAGGGTCAAAAGTCTGTGTATAACTTTTGACTCCCCAGAAACTTAGCCCCTAATAGCCTACAGTTGACCAGAAGCCTGACTGACAACGGAAACAGCCAGTTAACACGTATGGTGTGTACGTATTATATACTGTATTCTTATAATAAAGTAAATGAGAAAAATGTTAAAACCATAAGAAAGAGAAAATATGTTCACAGTACTGTACTGTATTTATTTTTAAAAATCTGCATATAAGTGGATCCACACAGTTCAAATTTATGCTGTTCAAGGGTCAACAGTAGTAGATCATATGTCTAAGCATTTAAAAGTTAGAAATCAGGTGAATAGCTCTTAAATTGAATATGCTCTCTTCTCTTTCTTTGGTAAACACACCTTCATAACCATCTGGGAAGCCAGGTTTGGATTTAGAATTCCCAGGCTCGGGTGTTCCAGATCGGAGGGAGAAGCACAAGAAGAGCTGGGCCCAGGTCCTCCCCTTGTGCCTTTTTACTCTCCACCCTGCTCCCTCCCCTATGCTGGGGGCCTCAGGCTCAGCACACACGGATCACAGACTCCGTCCCCATCGCCTGCAAACACCTGCCCCTTGCCCATCCCTGGGACCAAGAGGAGTGACACTGGCAGGGAAGAGGCCTGAGCAGACCCTGCAAGTGGGTAGAGAATTCTCTGGGTGGTCCTGAGTATTCAGAGTGGCACAGACTCTGGGTGGGCACCTTACTGTTGGCCCTGCAGACTCTGACCCCTGGGGCCGGAGGGGGGGAACCTCTGCAGGAGGGCCAGGGTGGGGCCTTCTTGCTTAGGTGTGGGGATGCTACTGGATGGTGAGGAGTTCCCGGTGGCTGGAATGTTGCCACAGTCAACATGAGCAATAGCGGAGGAGGCGGGTTCCCATCATGATGACGAAAATAGCGGCCCTGAATTTCTCTTTAGGAAGAGAAATGTCAGAAATGATGGGGTCTGACCTGGGAAATGGCCTGCTGCTCTTTCCACTAACCACATTTACCCACATAGTGAGCATGTTCCAGTCAATGGGTGGGACCTGGCCTTTTAGCCCAGTAAAACCAAGAAGCTAGAAATTAACAGTGCCTAAGCTCACAGTGTCTCTGGTCGTCAGATTTTGGGAGAGAAAAGGGCCACTTGGAGGTGAGTCAGCTTCTCTGTGGCCATACCCCATTGCTTCTGTGAAGTGAGTAAACTTTTTGAATTAGAGATGTCATTTCCTTTAGCTGTCCTTCCTAATGGAAGATGTTCTTCCATTAGCGGGGCCATGACGTGTCAAAGTAAGCGATGACCCGGACTTTCAGGGCTATGACATGATACAAGGGGCACAGAAGGAGCCTGAAGATCCTGTCTGAGGCCAGTCCACACCTCAGATTCTAACTCTCTGGTCCCAGTCATAGGCTCCCCCCCATATTTGACCGTTTGGAGCAGCTGACTAGAAGTTTCAGATTTTGATTACTTATAAGGAAAAAAACCAATGCAACCCTTGCCTTGCCCTCCCCGCCACCCCCCCCCCCCCAAACACTTACATTTCTATTCTTTCCTGATTGGGTAAAGGCAAGCAAAAGTATAAAGTCTTCCATTTGTCTCAGGCCACACAAGACCCTATTTTCACCCCCAACATAAAAAAAGCCTTGTTTAGATAGTTCTTGAAATTTGACTCAATATTTACCCTCCCCATTTATTTTCATTTAAAATATTTTTATTGACTTGTTTTTAAAGATTTTATTTATTTATTTGAGAGAGAGAGAGAAACAGCATGAGAGGGGAGAGGGTCAGAGGGAGAAGCGGGCCCCCCCTGAGCCAGGAGCCCGATGCAGGACTCGATCCCAGGACTCCAGGATCATGACCTGAGCCAAAGGCAGTCACTTAACCAACTGAGCCATCCAGGCGTCCTTCCATTTAAAATATTTTTAGAATTTCTTCCTCTCTCCCAGCTCCTTCACAGCTCGCTCCAGGAACACTCTGGTTCTACCACGAATAATGCTGTGCTCCTAACCACCATGGCTTTGCAATGAGAGGGTGTGCTGTGCGACTGGGCTTCAGTCCCTTCTGCCTGTCTCAGCAGACTCTGGAACTCAGCTGCCTGGGACAAACTCTGCTTCTCCACATCCCAGCTGTCTGACCTTGGGTAAGTCATCTAGCTCCTCTGTGCCTGGGGTTTCTCATTGGGGATTATCTCTTGTAGAATAGCTTGTCCCTAAAGATGGCCACCATCTATCCCTTCCCTCCCAGGATGTGCCTGCTGCCCACCCCCCCCACCCCCCACCCCCCTTGAGAAGTGTAGTCCATTCCTCCACCCCTGACTCTAAGCTGGGCTGGGGCTGCCTGGATGCCCCGTGTGGTCAAGGCTTCAGATGACGCCACCCGGCTACCAACTGTCTACACCGGCATGAGAGGCACGCTCAGCTGATCCCAGTCAGACCCCAAAACCATGTGAGATAATAATACTGGTACAGGGCTGTTTTGAGCCACCGAGTTTTGTGGCACTGTACAGCACAAGATAACCACATTAAATGTTGATGGGGATGGTCATATCAATGTCTATCTCACGGCACTGATAGGAGGATTAAATGAGGTAATATTCATTAGATGCTTAGAACAGTGCCTGGTAATACAGGCACCCCTTGGAGATACCGTGGGTTTGGTTCCAGACCACCACAATAGAATGAATAACACAATAAAACAAGGCAAATGAGTTCTTTGGTTTTTCAGTACATGTAAAAGTATGTTTACACTAGACTGGAGTCTACTAAGTGTGCAATAGCATTATGTCTAAAAAACCAATGTACATACCTTCCTTAAAAAATACTTCATCGCCAAAAACATGCTGACCCTCATCTGAGCTTTCAGTGAGTTATAATCACTTATCACAGATTACTATAAGAAATATAATAATGAGGAAGTTTAAAATATTGCAAGAATTACCAAAACGTGCCACAGAGATACCAATAGATTTGCTCAATGCAGGGTTGCCACAAACCTTCAATTTGTAAAAAAAAAAAAAAAAAGAAAAGAAAAAATGCAGTATCTGCAAAGCACAATAAAGTGAAGCACAATAACGTGAGGTCTACCTATGCTAACTGCCACATAAGAACACACCGTCCAAAACAATGACCCAGGGCATTCTGAGGGTATTTGGGTCTCAAGCTAATAAACACACTCATTTTGAGGAAAGCCCAGCAGTTGTCCTTGTCCCAGTACCCCATCTTCCAGAATATCCCTTAGTCAATGTGGAGTCAGCGGGTGGTGGTAAAAAGCGTGTCCTGAAAACTGACCGGTGTTGGTCCAGTCTCTGAGCCCCTTGGCTTCTCCATGCTCTGTGTCCACAGCTTTTAGATGAAGAAGACAGTAATCACGGCCACCACAACACGACGATGGTGAGAGACAAATAGGAAAGTAGCTGTGGAAGAGCTTTGAAGGCCTCCTCCATTTGTGTGTGTCTATCAGACACTGAAGTCCATATTTCCTTAAATTAAACCCAGGCTTTGTAGTCCTTGGCTACAACCAAGTCTCTTGCTGATACCCTCAACTCCCTTGCCTCCTCGTCCCTTGTTCTACCCCATATGGTGGAATCCTGGTCTCCAAACCTTAGGTTCCACTTACTACCTTTCTCTTTCTTCTCTCCTTTTATAGCTAAGCAGCTGCTGCTTCTCCTCCTCCTCCTCCTTCTTCTTTTTAAATTTATTTGAGAGACAGAGAGAGCTCAAACAGGGGAAGGGGCAGACCAGGAGGGAGAGGGAGAAGCTGGCCTCCCACTGAGCAAGGAGCCAGATGCAGGATTCAATCCCAGGACCCTGAGTGCAAGTCAGATGCTTAACTGACTGAGCCACCCAGGCGCCCCCTTCATAGCGAAGCTTCTTGAAACCAGAACCCTCGCTCACTGTCTCCCCCTCCACTCCTGCCTCTGACGTCCAGCTTCCACCAGCACCACCACACTGAAACTACTCGAAGATCCCCCAGGTGAGCCACCAGAGCAGGCTCATACTAGCTCTTGTGAACCGACTGATGTCTCTCTTCCCAGCTCCACGTTCAGTGACATCATGCTGGTAGCTTAAAATCATCCGTGGCAGGAGTCTTTACACGACAGACATTGGCAAGCACTAGGAATCCGGCTTTCCCTCTCTCCAAGGTGATGGTCGTTAACCGTTTACCAGCACATCACTGCCAGTGACCTTCTAGTTGCTGGGTGCAAAAGGGCACTTTCCAGATTTTCTTTAGTCGGCTTTATCTTCACTTGACACCATTGATCATTCTCTCCTTTCTGAGAGGTTCTCCATCTCTGGCCCCCTAGCTGCCACTCCCCCAATTTTCCTCCTATTTCTCCATCTCTTCTCCATGCCAGCCCCTTACAGGCTTTTATTTAACTCATCTTTCCAATATCTGTGTTCTCCGGGATTCTGTCTTCTTTTGCTATACAAGCTTGATGGGAGACATCTTACATTCCCATAGTTTCAACAAATCTGAAACCAAAAGGTTATCCTTGGCCCCTCCCTAGCCTTCACTTCCCCATATCTATCTATCCAACGTCAAGTGCTGCTGATTTTATGTCCTAACTAGCTCTCATTCTCTCCCCTCTTCTCTCATCTTCCCTGCCAATACATACTCCACTCCACTGTCCTCTCCAGTCTGGACCACTGCAGTAGCTTCCTACCTGCTCGATTTCCGGCCATTACTGTCCTCCACGTCGTTCTCTACATTTCAGCCACAGTGACTTTTCACAGGTACAAAACTGATTAAAATACTTCTTCTGGTCTCAACAATTCAACAGCTCTCTGTTGCTCTTAGTAGAAGATCCCAATCCTTAGCAGGACCTGGGGACCCTGCAGGGTCTGGCTTCCGGCCTCCAGTCTCATCTCAGACCCATCCCTCTTGCACTCTGGCCACCACTGGCTTCCAGTGCACTGTGTTCCCTCTAGAAGCAGACTTTTGTACATGCTGTTCCCTCTACCTGGAAATTCACTCCTCTTTCAATTCTTATTCCTCGTTCCGATCTCACTCAAAAGGTACTTCCTCAAGGAACTTCCTGACTAGCACCTCCTCTTTGTAGCACTTAGGCAGATGTAAGTGTTTTGTGTGCCCCACTAGATCATAAGCTCCAGGGACAATCTGTTTTGCCTGCTCTTGTAGTCCCAGCATCTAGCTCAAATAGGTTTTGAAGGAATGAAACATGCCTTTCAGCTTCATACCTGAAGTCAGTCCCCTCTTGCAAACTGCTGGTGACTCCATCCTTCCATTGCTCAGGCCCAAGACGTGGAGTCCTCTTTGATGCCTCTGTTTTTCTCACCTCCTGGGACCTAAACCACCCGCAAATCCCATCAGATCTACCTTCAAAGGATATCCAATATGTCAGCCAGACAGCATGTGCCTCCCGATGGAAGAACATAACTTAGGAAGCGGCCTTGCTAAATTCCCAGGCCATGAGAAACTCTTCAGGACAAACAACGTAATGTCTTCAGAAATATATTGCAAGGGGGGAAACAAAGAGAGTCTCTTCACTGACCTGCAGTCTCCGCACTGCACTGCAGTGCGAGTCATCCTTTAAACACATTAGATCATGTCCTGTCTGTTGAAGCCCTCCCATGGCCTCTCATGTTGCTTCTAGGACCTAGCTCTGAACTTCCCTCCTAGCACTCAGCTGCTCCTCTGCTCCCCCATCATCTGTCAGTGTCAGAAGTACAAATTCTCTGGCAAGGCCCATGAGGCCCTGGTGATGTGGCCTCTCTGTGCATCTCCTGGCTCACCACCCAAACCCCAGGTTTGCATAGCAATCTGCCCTCACCCATGCTCCTTTGTTTTAGCCACTCTACCTGGGCCTGCCCGCACTAGGAAGCTCCCAGGCTCCCTCAGCCCTAGCTCGGAGCCATCTCTCTCATAACCCAACACAATCCAATCTGCTTCCGAGCTCCCAGGAGCTCAGGGTTTTGTTTTGTCATCATGGCTTGCCTCATCAGTCTCCTTCCCCAGACCCAGCTCCTTGAAGGCTCAGGCTACCTCTTCTACCTCTATAGCCCTGGGCACAACACCCGAGACTCAAAATTAAACGTATTTTGAATGAGTGAATGAAAATTCTACATAAATTAGCATTGTTACATCTTTTAAGTCTCTGTATACCAAAGTTTCCTGTAACAGGAATAACATCCTTACCCCTACCTATAATTACACAGAAGTCATAGCTTTTAAAATTGTTGGGGAAAAAAGTGCTCTTGACTTCTCAGCAAAACATTCTTTTTTAAAAAAAAAAAATTTTATTTGAGAGAGAGTGTGAGCATGAGCAGGGGGCGAGGCAGAGGCAGAGGGGGAAGGAGACTCCCCACTGAGCAGGGAGACCCTGATGACATGGGGCTCCATCCCAGGACCCTGAGATCATGACCTGAGCTGAAGTCAGGTGCTTAACCGACTGAGCCACCCAGGCGCCCCTCAGCAAAAGATTCTAAATAAACAGAATTGAGGTCTTGGATGTCAAGAATGAAATAATAATTTAAAAAAATCTTTAAAAGTGTAATCATACTTCTGTTATAACCAGTTCTTCCATTAGTTGTCTAAATTTGGAGAGTTTCATTTTGAAAATTGCACACCAAGCCAACTTGCCTGTCCACTGAGCACCTTACTTGAAGAGTCAGCATCAAGGGGTGAATACTGGGGAGGGAGAGTGGGGACAAGCGGGGTTCCTGTCTCCAGAAGGGAGATCAATAGCCCACCAGGATTTGGGGAAGAGGAAGGTGAAGAGTTCTCACATAAGGAGGAAACTGCCTCTGCAAAGAGCACCTGATGGAGACAGAGGGCGTGGAACCAAATCAGTTGATGGGAGCCAATGAGAAAAGAGGAAGGTGAGCAACAGGAATAAGAAGACCCAAAGTAATTCATACAATACGTACAAATAGGACTGCCTTGCATGATTTGTTTTGATGATTTTAATCCAGTTACTTGCTCAACTGTTACAAATTTTTTCAATATTGAATCTGTTGTTTTGCTCGATCAAGGACGTTAGTTTCAACAGCCAGCAGTTATCAAAGTTTTGGTTTGGATCTGGTTTGGATTACCCTTCCAATACAAAATTGGTGCTACCGGCCAGCCACGAGGAGGACCGGAAGTCTGAGTTATTTTCCCTGTGTTGGTGATGGATTGCGCGGCGTGAGCCACTGGCACTCCCTTCCACGTGACCTACCGCGACCTACTGCGAGCGACTGCATGCATCTGAAGGTAACGAGTCAAGGTTAGGGGTATGGTCTGTGATGATGGAACACAGTTTTTTCTTTGGGTGAGAAATTACTAGCTTAGAACAGCATTAAATGATAATTTTACTCCATATTCTTGGGGAAAAGTGCACAGGTTTTTAAAAAATGGTTTTATAGGGCAATATCCCAACATCGAGGAGAAAGCCAAACGCCCCAAGTGTTGAGGCGTGAGGACAAAAAGCAGGGGTGTGCCAGGGAGAGCTGAGGCCAGTACAGCCTCCTGAAAGTTGGCACAGGGGGCAGCCACTGTCCTAGAGCTGCCTGCCCTCCTCGCGCCCCTTTTCCTACTCTCCGCTCAGTTTCCAGGAAGCAGTTTCCTCTAAGGTGCTGAGAAGAAACGAAGACATGGGCTCTGAAGTCACGAAGCCCTGGGTTGGAATCCTGGCTCTGTCTGGCTGTGGGATCTTCTCAAAGTCGCTATAAAATGTGGATAGTGAGGTTGACTTCCCAGGCTTGTCAGGAAAGACCCGAATGAAACGGCCCAGGGGAAGAACAGTGCCAAACACCTGGTACCAAGTGGAATTTGTCTCCTGGGACAGAGACACTTCCAGGGCTCTCGGATTCCACACGCCAAGGTCAGGCCTATCCAAAGCACCGAGTGATAAGAAGACTTCCAGCTCTCTTATTCTGCCTTTTTTTTTTTTTTTTAAATGTATATTCCGTTTGGGTCCTAAGCATGTAAGTAGGTATCATGGAATGCAAACAAGTAAGGAAACAGAAATATATTAAGTGAATGATATGTGAAACAAGGCTGTGACTGACAAAGAGGAAACTGCTGCTTGGCTGCACAAAAGAATTAATATTAAAACATTTAAGAGACTTAACATAGGAATAAGCTATTTTAATCAAGCAAAACCAAATTTGTATTCATTATTTCTAAAAATAAAATTAGACTTTTCCAACCCTTAACATCTGCATTTAATAATATCTTCTAACCAAAATACAGATGCTAAAACGGCAAATTACAATATATCTTGTACAGCATACAGTATGTTCACTGTTTACACCTACTTTAATTCTAGTTGGTCGTTATGTACTCAATGCATACTTAAACATCACTCATGATAAAGTTTTCACAATTAACAAAAAAAATGTGACAAGGCTGTCTTAAAACGGCTCTGCTATAAATTGTATAGAATATACAGAATTACAAAGTCAAGTATTTTTTTATCAAAATATACACCCCTCCCTGAAACTAACACAAGCTATCAACATTTTAAACGAATAATACAATTATAGAAAATATTTGCAAAATTATTTTTTCATGTATAAATATTCTGCCATATTTACTTTG